TTAGTTCCTGCTCACAGCAAGCAGGTCAAAGGTCAGAGCGTTTACTGCCCTGCTGAAACATGTCTTTGTGCATCACGGTCCCGCCACCGCTGTCAGACTTCTCAGGTTCAACATCAGGTTGAACAACCGTCTTATTCCCGTCTGCAGAGCACGCAGTTTTCAGTGTGATCACCGACCTTTGACCCTCCGGCTCTGCTGCACCTGCCATTACTGTGCTCCGCTCAGAGAGAAACTTTATCGCTGCAGCTGCCGCACCTTCACACAGCCGTGGCGCTGCGATTCCCCACGCTGTCCCCGGCTTTTAAAGCACCAAAGTCATTTAGCTCTGACCGCTCTCCTCTTTCGTCCTCGTCGACACTTTTACCGGACGCTCACTGTAACCCTAACCCACTGAAAAATGATCTGAATATCATCTGTCAGCCACAGAAGACAGAACAGTGTCGTCAGTGTTTGTTGTGTCAGATAAACTGATGAGCTGAAAGACCTCACCAGGTCGGAAAAGGAGACTTCGTCCTTCGTCCTGGGCACAGAGTCGGATCCCTGCTGGAGTTCGGGAGAGTTTTCTGCTCCAGACACGGCGGTGAGGACTCACTGAGGTCATCGAGACCTTTAAAACTCAAGCAGCAGGATTAACATGTGCAGGAAGCTGGGAAGAGTCGTGACTGCTCACACAACTGGGAAAACTTGTCTGAGAGACTTTAGGCCACATCCCGCTGTGCTGTCAGAAACACGGAAACATGGCAGATGGCGTTGATGTGTGCAGGAAGTGACACAACTATGAGACGATTCATCCCTGACGACACAGCAAACGCCTCCTCGGCCATTCTCCCTGCGATGTGTTCAGGAAGTCATCCAGCGACGGTTTTAAGCATCGCTCTGTGTCATATCCAGACTGTTTCCTCCACTTTTCCTGGTTCAGCTGATAAAACTCTTTTATCTCTGGATTATCCTCCCATCTCATTCTGGATTTATGATCTCGGATATGTTTCCTGATCCGTGCTGTTTCATATCCCTTTTCCTTTGTTGGGTCCTTTATTCTGAAGTGATCAGTTCACAGTGAATCTGTGCGGCGCTGCTCGCCTCTTCACGGGATTAAACATGTGGCGCACACAGCGCTGTGGATTAGGATTAGGAAGGCACATGAATTAATCTGTGATCTGGCATCAGACTGGGAATTAACACTTCCCAGAATGCTTCAGAGCTGGCAGGCAGCGGAGCGCACATCTGTCCACCGGTGTTTTCAAAGGAGCTGCAAAGAAAAGCGTCTGGACTTCTTTAAGTTGCTTGAAGACGTTTCACCTCTCATCCCAGAAGCTTCTTCAGTGCTAAGGTCAAATGGCCGAGAGTCGCACTGGGTTTAAATCTCGGCCATTTGACCTTTGAACTGAAGAAGCTTCTCGGATCAGAGGTGAAACGTCTTCAAGCAACTTAAAGAAGTCCAGACGCTTTTCTTTCTACGATGACCTGGATGACTGAGAACCTTCACAGACACACCGCTGCTGGCTCCTCTGCAGGTGTAACAGAGCCCGATCAATCGTGGTCGCCTGTGTCACAGGCATGGGCGTGTGCTCCATCACACGGTTGGTGTTTGCAGCCTCTCCTGCTCCCTCAGCAGCGGCTCGGACGAGACATTTCCCGGTGAAATCAGCTGTGCGTCTGAGCCGCTGTGAGGAGGCTGCGCTCAGACACCAGCGTGTGCAGACGACACGTTTGTGCCTCATTTAGACACATTCATTACTTGTGGACCGGTTTTCTCATTATCCTTTCATAATGTGACGGGCTCGCTCTGCCGCGCTGCTGCGACTTCCTGTAATCACTGCAGGGCCCTAAAAGCTGCTCCGCCCCCTCCATCCTGTCACCTGACTGAGCTGTCCTTTTGAAGCAGCCGGCATAGATTTCTGAAAACCTGCTTCATGTTTTAGCTTCACTTTCACAGACAGAGTGTAAGCATGACAAACATGACCTCTGACCTCTGGATGCGAAGCCACCCAGAGACATGCAGAGTCCTACGTAGCTGCGAACTCGTCTCAGCGTCTTTAGTTATTAGTCTCTGTCTCTCTCCCACAGCGTGTCGTTACCCTGTCCTTCTCCAGCAGATGCCCCGCCCCTCGCTGAGCCTGGTTCTTCCTGTTAAAGGGAGTTTTTCCTTCCCACTGTCACCACAGCTCTTGCTCATAGGGGGTCATATGATTGTTGGGTTTCTCTGCATTGTTGTGTCTTCACCTTACAGTATGAAGTGGGTTGTTGTGTTACTGCGTCTCCTCGGCGGTCTGGTCTAACTCGCTGTTTCTGCCCTCCAGCTGGTCGGGGAGCAGCAGGAGAGCCGGCCCCTACTGAGCCCCTCCATCGATGACTTCCTGTCGGAGACCCGGAGCGACACCCCCTCCGCCCGACCGCTCACCTCCAACACAGCAGGTAGACTCCCGCTAATTACCACCTCCTCCCATCCTTCCCCTCGTCTTCCACAGCTCAGCGGGGCTCCACCTCCTCCTCCTCCTCCTCCACCCCCTCCTCCACCTCCTCCTCCTCCTCCTCCCCCTCCTGCTCAGGGTGAGGATTCTTTCCAGCCGTCGTGCAGGAGAAACGAGGGGAAACATTATTGATCCATTTCTGTTTTATTTAATCTGCTAAACATGAGCTGTGAGAAGAAACCTCCTCCTCTCCCAAATCTCTCTGCTCTCTGTTCTTGTGCTCCTCTAACTTTCCGCCCTTGGCCGTCCTCCTTCCTCCTCTGTGAACCATCTGTCACCTCCGACTCAGCAGGTACACCGGCCATTAATTAGCACCTCTGACCTCCTCTGTCCTCCTGTCTGCTCTGTCCTCCTCCTCACATTAAACTCAGGCTGCTGTGCTGCTTCTTTCTGCATTTACATAAAAACTGTTGACGTGTCAGGAGGAGGAGGAGGAGGAGGAGGGGGAGGAGGAGGAGGGGGAGGAGCCCCGCTGAGCTGTGGAAGACGAGGGGAAGGACGGGAGGAGGTGTGGCTGATCCCAGCCTGGGCTCCAGGCTGCAGGGAGACGCTCAGAGGTCACAGAGTCACGCGTTCTGTTATTGATCATGGATCAATTCAAACTTTATTAGTCTGTGAGCGCGGTGACAAGAACACGTCTGAGCGCCGCTGTAACCCTCTAACACCTCCAACCCCGCTGAAGGCGATGGTTAAACTCACTGATGAGGGACGCCTCCTCCAGCTCGTCTGTGAGGACGCCGTGATGAACGAACGCTGCAGGTCGGCCACAGCGTCTCAGTCCCAGCTGGTCGTGCGTGTAGGAGGCGCCCTGTCAGCGGTGGCTCTAACCGAGCTCGTCGGCCTGCGAGGCTGAGCCGCGGCAATAAATCTGTTTTAAATGACCTCGAAACTGTGATGCTGAGAGTACTCAGATTACTCAGAGTAATCTGAGTACTCAGATTACTCTGATTACTTAGAGTACTCTGAGTAATCTGAGTACTCAGAGTACTCAGATTACTCTGAGTACTCTGAGTAATCAGAGTACTGGGAGTAATCAGAGTACTGGGAGTACTCAGAGTCCAGTACTCTGAGTA